CCTTCTGAGTAGACACGCTTATAAAGGTCTCAATCTCCTTTTGAAAGAGAATGATATAAATGGTGAAAACTGATGAGAAAAGGGAAAATAATAAGAGTACCAGTAATACCTGCTTATGAGTTTACTACTGACAAGCACTTTCACATATTTTTTTGATCTCACAACCAACACTTGAGGTGGGTAGGTTTCAGTTAATCATTCCAGTGAGGTTTTTATTTCCCACAAATGCCAAGGATGTCAAGGAAAGTTTGTTCTTGGATTTGGTTTCCATGTATTCAGAAAATAAATAAAAGTCAAACAAGTTTTTTACTGACTAGCTTTAGTTCCGAAATAGCATTACACATTTCTCAAAATCCATTCTTTACAGAGGAGACAAGAAATTTCTGAAATCCACTTTGGATTCTTTTGGAATTCTTTCTGACTAAGCTGCATTTTTAGTTAAGAGAAGTGTTTCTTTGTTTTGCTCATGTCCTTTGAGGAGCAAATGGGTATTGACTGTCCAGATGTAGGTGTTTTGAAAACCAGGCTGGGCTCTCGCCATTGGAACCAGACTTGCAGAACTCAGAACTTTAGTCTCTGTGTCTTCCTGCAAGGGTTAAATCTGAGGAGTGGTAGAATTGTTTCTCATCGTCCATAGGATCCTTCTCCTTTTCCCGTTATTTTACCAGTTAGTGTTCTGATGCATATTTTACAAGTAATCAACAAAACAGTTTTGGAGCCTTTCTACTTCTTCACAATTTTTGCTTCTTTAAACCTGAGTGCATATTTATTTTGCTTCTCAATTAATAAGTGTCTGTACTTTGGGGTGTCAGTTTAGCCTTGGGCTGGAGACACATTCCAGCTTTATCCAGCACCTGCAGCTGGAAGCAGTATGGACATGCTTCTTCGAAATCCTGTGAGGAACTGCAGGCCCAGAGGCAGCAGCAGGTGTGACCCACACAGGTATCTTGTAGTTTCAGCAACGTTGCCTTCATGCCTGTGGCTGAAAACTGATGAGAGCCCCATTGTGGATTACACTGTGAAGAAATGCCAGTCGAACCCAAATGGAGTGACATTGTACAAAATAAGTGGCCTAAACTCTTCTAAAATGTCAAGATCAAGAAACTAAAAGAAAGGAGGTAGAACTGTTCCATATTGAAAGAGTAAGTGCTAGGTATGAAACCTGGGCTGGATCGTGAACTAGGAAAGATTAATTATAAAGTACATTATTCAGACAATTGATGAAATTGGATTATGAACTGCATATATGTGTATATACAGTTTGCCTATAATTATATGAGCCTGGAGAAGGATATAGACTAAATTGTTTACATTGGTTACTTGGGAAATAGTAGGGGTTAGGGATGACACTTTAAAAAAGCATACAGGATGAACAGGACTCATGACACGATTCCATTTTTATTAAATGATACGTGTGTGTGGACTTCCCTGGTGGCGCAGTGGTTAAGAATCCGCCTGCCAATGTAGGGGACACGGGTTCGAGCCCTGGTCTGGGAAGATCCCACGTGCCGCAGAGCAACTAAGCCCATGTGCCACAACTACTGAGACTGCGCTCTAGAGCCCGTGAGCCACGACTACTGAGCCCGCGTGCCACAACTACTGAAGCCTGCGGGCCTAGAGCCCGTGCTCCGCAACAAGAGAAGCCACCACAATGAGAAGCCCATGCACCGCAACGAAGAGTAGCCCCCGCTCGCCCGCACACAGCAATGAAGACCCAATGCAGCCAAAAAATAAATAAATAAAATAAATCTATTTTTTAAAAAAAGAATCTGCCTGCCAAGGCAGGGGACACGGGTTCGAGCCCTGGTCCAGGAAGATCCCATATGCCGCGGAGCAACTAAGCTCGTGTACCACAACTACTGAGCCTGTGCTCTAGAGCCCGCGAGCCATAACTACTGAGCCTGTGTGCCTAGAGCCTGTGCTCCACAACAAGAGAAGCCACCGCAATAAGAAGCCCACGTGCTGCAACGAAGAGTAGCCCCCGCTCACCGCAACCAGAGAAAGCCTGTGCACAGCAACGAAGACCCAATGCAGCCAAAAATAAATAAATAAAATAAATTTATATATAAAAAACATGATATGTGTGTGGATAAAATGAATTACATAACAGATGGTCAACAAAATGTTAATGACTGTCATCTTAAGGTAATGGGAATTTGAACTTTTACATTTTTCATATTTATATGTAAGAAAATTTTTTGTAATACAATGGTTTCAATGTACATGAATTATTTTTATTAAAATCCTAAAAAGTAACTTTTTGGTGTTAAAAGAGCCAAGAAAAAGTCACTGGGGACATTATAAGTACATTTTGGATTACATTTTTTCTGCCTCATCCAATTTTTTCCTTGCAGTGCTGAGTTTATTACTTTAAACATCTTATGTGTTTTGACACAAGATGTTCCCAGATGTGCTGAGCACATGTAAAACTTGGAGCAAACTCTCTGGGTTGGAAGGAATTAGGGTGCCTGATTTTCTGAGGAATTTTGTCTGCTATGGGAGCTTTGGCAATTATTTCCTGAGCTAATTCCTGAATTACCAGCCCTGAACTCTCAAAAGAAATCCCCTTCTGGCATTTTCAAAGTTCTCCTTCTAGCACTGGGTCCCTTTGACTTACGTACTTTGACCACACAGGTGCACACTCATCTTGGTCTCGAAAGGTATACAAATCATCTGTCTTGGGATCTGAATGTCTTCCCCCTTCACCGTGGATAAGACCGTACTTTCTCCTGGCTGCTTGGAGGTATTCTGAGAATGACCGAGGTGGGTTTGTGGAATGCTCAGATGAAAGGAACAAAGCTCTAATTTTGTTAATAATGTAACCCCTGTTGTCGGTAAACCCACTGAGGCAGATGAGAACAAGGAACGATGCGCTGGAATCAAAGATACCACCAACACTCAAGGGAGGGCCAGCTTGGTGCTCTTAGGGTTCACGGCTGTGGTAGCTTTAGGAGCGTGGCCCAATGTAAAGAAGATGAAGAGTTAGTGCTCCCATAAGGGGCTCCCAGCTAATAACAGATGGGTTGGTGGACAAAGTTCAGCAAACTCGCCCTTCAGGTGGGGAAACTGTGAGGCAGGGTCTGTACCACCTCCCACAGTTGCCTGGAGGGTCTGAGCTCCAGCCGCCCACAGTGGCAGCTTCTCCATGCAAGCTTTATAGGCTCACCCCTCTCTAGCTCACTTCCTGTCTCAGCAGTGTTTTAAGGAATCCTCTCCCAAGTAAAGTATTTGCTCTTGAATCCTTGTCAATTCCACTCTAACTGGAAACATCATGTGTTTTCCCACCCTTCCCATCTCCTTGAGATCCTAACCCCTCTTGTCCTGCCTATCATATTGTCAGAGTCCTGGATCTCACTTTGCTACAGTCTAGGCCTCATAGATCTCCCTTTCCGCTGAAATCAAGATACTCTTCCCTACTCAGCTGGCAGTGAGTCAGACACAGTATACTCCTCCACTGTGTAGTGGAATCAGACATGCACACCTGGCCATCAATCCTGACTCCGTTACTTACCAGCTATGAAACCTTGGGCAAATCACCTAGCCTCTCTGATCTTCAGTTTTCTCCTCTGTGCAAGAAAGGTAACATTCCTTACCTTGTCAGGTTGTCCTTTTGATTTAATAAGCTAAATGTGTAAAGAATCAGGATATTGCCTAATACAAGAAGATATTCCAGAAATGATAGTGATTTTTATTACATAATTTTCTTCCATTACTTACTTTCTTATGTGTCTACATCTTGTTTTCCCAACTAGACTGTAGCTTCTCTGCCATATTCAACTGCTTTACCACAATGCCTTGCACATGACGGGCACTAAATAATCACTAGTTATCAGTTTTCTAAAGCTTTAAATCAGAGGATGCACTCTTTCAATTCAAGGTTCATTTATGAATTATTTGTTATTGTGAGGCATTCTCAAGGAATTTTTTGCAGGTAACTCCTTTTCTGGGCCTCAAATTTTCCCATATAAAAAACAAATGTTTTGGTCTATAATTCTAGATGCACCGAGGTCCTTCTAGCATTAAAGTTTGGAGGCTATATATTCCTGAGGGCAAGCACTGTATGTTACTCTCCTCCTGACCCTTCCACACTTACTATAATGGTGGTCACAGATTAAGTGACTTCCCAGTGCACGGAGAATAGAGTCCAGATGCCTCACCCAGCCTTTCCTCTAGCTTTCATCCTGTCCCTCACTCCATTCCAGCCAGACTGTGTTTACTTTGCACCCCTAGAACTTTCCAAGCTTGATCTGCCTTGAGGTCTTTGTACTTGCTGTTTCTTACCATTTGGTTCTCTGCTCAAGCGTCTCCTCCACAGAGGTCTCTCACCCCACCCCAGTCTCTCTATCCAACAACCCTGCTCTGTTTTTTTGTTCATGTCACGTCTCTCTGAAATTGTCTTATCATTTAGTCATTTATTTCCCTTTTTTGGTGTGCATTTTATTTGCATTTATTGTTTTTTCTCTCCACCTCTCCCTCTAGCCCCCAAATATAAACTTCTATCTTGGATCCTTTTATATTCCTGCTGCAAAAAAAAAAAATACTTCGCACAAACTACACCCCTAAATAATTGAGAAATGACTGAATAAACTCTACCACACCTTACAGAGTAGTTTTTAGGTGGTGAGTTAAAATCCATGGCTGTCATGCCAGGTTCTAGTGAACTTAAGTATGTGTCCTAAGCTAATTGCCATAGGTCTGAGTAAACATGGAGTAGGAAGAAACAAGGAATTCTTAGGAAGACAACTGCAAACAATCATATCAGCTTATCTAGAAACTTGCTGGCAGTGGGAAATTTAGAGATAATTTTTAAAGATGTAATTCATTTCTTTTTATTATGGAAAATTTCAAACATAAACATGGACCCTCTTGTGCACGGTGGTGGACAAACCCTAGGGTAGCCGCTCATCCTAGTATTCACACCCTTGTAATATCCCTTCCCCTGTGACTTGCTTTCTAACGGATAGAGTATGGCACATTTGATGTCACCCCTGTGTGATTACCTTGTGTTATATGAGATTCCATCTTGCTAGCAGGTTTGCTCTGGTGACTCTCCTTGCTGACTTGATGAAGTAAGTGGCCGTGCTGGCCCATGAATGCCAGGTGCCACCTAGGAATTGAGGGCAGTCTCCAGTGGACAGCCAGCAAAAGCCAAGGTCTTCAGTCCTACAGCTGCAAGGAAATGAATTCTGCCAGTGACCCAAGTGAACATGGAAGCTGTTTCTTTTCCAATTGAGCCTCCAGATGAGAATGCAGCCTAGCCAACACCTTGATGGCAGGTGCGAGACCCTAAGCAGATGACCCAAGTGCCTGGACACCTGACCCACAGAAACTGAGATAATAAATCTGTGTTGTTTTAAGCTTCTAGGTTTGTGATAATTTGCTGCCACAGATAACTAATAAAGATATATCTATCACCCAACATTAACAATTTTCAAGTTTGCCAATATCTATATCCTCATGTTTTTTGGGGGTGGATGGGCTGGACTATTTTAAAGCACATGCAGATATTTTTGTATGTTTCTCTAATAGAGAAGGACTATTAAAAAGCATAACCACGATGCCAGAAAAATTAAGGGCTTAATAGGGAACAAGAATAGGAGTCTTTTTTTCAAGCAACCAAGTCAATGTATTTAGTATATTAACTGGACACCTGGAGAAAAGGTGCTTGAAATAAATCAAATAACATCCTGTTGATCCCATGAGCTAAAGGATAGGAGAGCATGGGAGAGTTTTCATTTGAATTGTCTGAGGTTTGCCAGTTGTTTTTTTAAAAATCAGTACAGCCGCAGAGTACTGAATTGTCCCTACAGTGTGCTCATTGGTCACGCAATATCTAAAACCATTCGGACCCATTTCTAACTAAGGTCCTACCCATTCCCCTAACCTGCTTTATGATGGATCCTGGTAAATACCATTTTTATCCATAACTCCTTATAATTTCATGTCCTACTCGAATTGCCATTCCCACCACTTTTTCCTTACTACAGGAAGCTCTTCCCAACCGGCCCTAGTTCTTTTCCTCTCTTGGATAAACCAATCTCATCTCCCTTTGACACCGCTCACCTAGGCAGCGCTTAATAAGTGAAATTCTCAGGGCTCTGGGTTCAATCCCATCTCGACCACCCGGGCGGTTTGTGATCTCTGGCAAGTAGTCGGCTGGATACAATAGTGCCTCGCAGGGTTGTCGTGAAGATTAGATAAAGAACGTGCGTAACGTGTGAAGCGCCCAGCACCGAAAAGGCGCAGCAGAACCCCAGCCCTACCCTTTGTTGGTTTCCATCTCCAACCAAACAGCACCAGAACGCTCAGCACCACGCCTCTCCCGCCCTCGTCGCGGAGGATGCAGGGATTTGTAGTTTTTTGGTCCCCTAGTCGCGTTTCCTCTCGGAGCCGGACGGCGAGAGGAAGAACTACACGTCCCAATAGGCCGTGAAAGGAAATTGGGGCGCGGAAAACCGATCGTCCCCGCCCCGTCTTCGCTCTCGCGGCCCACCGGCTGTGCCCACGGCGGGAGGGTTCAGACCCCGCTGCAAAGCCAGGGCCGAGCGCACGAGCAGATCCTTGGGGACAGTCGGGCGGGGCGGGAGAGCACAGCGGGTGGCCCATCTGCCGCCGTGGGAGCTCGCGGGGGGAAAGGAGAGAAATAAAGCGAGCAAATTGAGAGCGCCCGTGTCGGAGAAGTGAGAAAGGGCAGGGGAAGCAGCAACGCACGCAGAGCCTGGCTGCCACGGGGCTTGTCGTCCTGGAGGGACCCAGGGCGCTTCGCTGTCCCCTCCTCCCCGCGGGAAGCCTGGAAGCTGGCCGGGCACGGAGACTCCCGCCCGCAGCCCCCATCCCGGAGTCCGGCCCGCCTCGTGCAGCGCCTCCCCATCCTGTCGCCGGGGCACCCCCAACCCACTCCCGGGCAGCAGCAGAGCCCCCGCCACTCGAGCACGCGCCCCGCTGCGGGAGGGAGAGGGAGAGTCGGGGCGGACAGGGGAGGGCCATCACTCCGCCCCGGTTCCTCGGGTCCCCAGGAGTCGCCAGAATGGGTTTGCGTGTTGCTGCGTAAATGTGTCTCCCGAGGCGGCAGCGGCCGCCGGGAATAAACCGGGAGAAGCCGGGAAGCGGACGAAGTCTGTGGGAATGCGCGCGGCGGGGCATCGGGTGCCCGGCCGGAGAGGCCCTTGGGCGATGCCGGAGGGTGTCCAGCGCCCGCCCCGGGGCCTCGCCTGCCCTGCTGGCGGGCACGGGGGCGGGGGACCCTTCCGAGCCCGTGCGGGCTTCGCCCGAGAGAAGGAGGAGCCGGAGGAGGAGCCCGGCGGGCGAGGCGCCGGCCGCCGCCCACCGGGCCGGGAGGAGGCGGACCAGCTCGGAGCGAGGCGCGCGCGCCGGGACTCATCCTCGCAAACAAGTGTCTGTGGCGTTCGCCCCGCGGCCCAGAGACGCGCTCCGCCGCTCCCGGCGGCCCTCCTTGCGCCGGGCCTGGCTCCTATGGGGCCGGAGGGAACCAGGGAGCCCCTGGCCGCGCAACCCGCGAGCCACCGCCGCGACCCTCAGCCCAGGCGGCCCCAGCAGCTCAGAGCGGGGGCCGCGGACTCGGCTCGGCTGCCAGGCGCGCCGGCGCGGGGTCGCCGCGCGAGCAGCGCCCGGGCTGTCGCCGAGCCCGCTCCTGACAGAATAACGTGCTTGGTTTCCCCACCCCTGGGAGGGGTTGCTGGGGCCGCAAGCTGCCTCCCAGTTTCCATCGCTCTCTCCTGGGGAGGATCCGCCGCCGGGAGGAAGGATTAGAATAAACCTGACCGAGGCGCAGAAGTGGCTCCTGAGGAAGCCGGCGCCGGGGCCGCCGCCTCGTGTCGCCTCTGGGCGCAGCGCTCGGGGGTCGGCGGGCCAGAGCCGAGGCGCGGCCGGAGGGCCGGGGGCTGCGGGGCCGAGCGAGCGGCTGTGCGAGGGGGAGGGCGCACGGCAAGCACGGGGGCGACTGGGCAGCCCCCCGCGCCCCGCGGGGTCCCGGAGCCCCAGCACGCGGGCTGGAAGCGACTGAGGACCGCCGCCGCGGGCTGCGGGCGAGCACCGTCCCTCTAGGCAGGGGATCCGGCTATGACAGCTGGGCTCCCCAAAGGGTTAACCTGGGTGTCCTCGGCAAAGTTGTCGCCGAGCCGGGAGCCCGCCTAGGGGCCGCGGCGCCGAGGCTCTGGGGGCGGCCGGGCGGCCGGCGGCGGTCGTGGCTCGGCGGGGGCCGCGCGGCCGGGGGGCTGCTGGGGGTGTGCGCCCCCAGCCGGCTGCCCTCGTGGATGCCTCCCGGCGGCGGCGGGCCCATGAAAGACTGCGAGTACAGTCAGATCAGCACCCACAGCTCCTCCCCCATGGAGTCGCCCCACAAGAAGAAGAAAATCGCGGCCCGGAGGAAATGGGAGGTTTTCCCGGGAAGAAACAAGTTCTTCTGCAACGGGAGGATCATGATGGCCCGGCAGACGGGCGTCTTCTACCTGACTCTCATCCTCATCCTGGTCACTAGCGGACTCTTCTTCGCCTTCGAGTAAGTGGTGGCGAAAGCTCCCCGACGCCTGGCACCCCTCGCCTCCCCGATCCCTGTCCCTCTCCCCTCGCTACTTTCGTTTTCTAGAAGCCTTATCTATTGTATATTGTTAGATAATACAGACCCCGCACTCCCTCTTTTTCTTTAAAAGGTCTGTTGGCTTTTCGGTCCCCGGAGATAATGCAGTTCTGGGTCGGGCTCTGGGAGTGGAGGAGAAGGGAGAGAGGACACTTGGAAGGTGTGCCGGCCTTGTTGCACCCAAGGGTTGAGTGGCACCTCGCAGGTGACTGATTCTTGGCGCGGGCCCTACTGAGTTTGGAGACTAGCAAACCAGCCCAGATGTAGCCTTCTGTGGGAAGCGGGGATGAGGAAGGTCCTTAAGTCAGGGATAAACAGAATCGACTTCCTTTCGTGCTCACGAGCTGTAGGGCATCTTGTGAAGCTCAGTTGACTAAATCTTCTACATACCCTCCCTGACTAACGAGAAATCTTGGTTATTTTAGGTCTCAGAGTGTTGGCCACTCCATGTGGCTTGGAAGGATAATTTCATTTTTCGTTCTCCTTAGATGTTCACTCTTGATCAATTTCTGATTTACTATCAGGTTTCTAAACGATTCACTTTAAAAACAGGTTTCAGTAAAAAAAAAAAATGCTCCAAGCAAACACTTTCCCCTCCCCTCCCAATATTGGGGAACAGGTAAAAGGAGACTGTAGGCCTGTCAGGAAGAGTATGACACTGCATAGTAACTTATGATTCCAGAAACAAAACTTTGGGACTTTAGGGCTTTTATCGGGGAAAAAAGTGCATGCCCGTCTTCTCCATTCAGGAAAATCAAATTGGCTGATAGCAACTATCTTCCTGCCAACTAACTAAAGATCTTCTTGTTTGTTAATAGTATTAGATAAAGTAGTTTAACCACATTTCAGAATCCACTTCAATTGCTCTTATTGGGTCCAACATTTGCATTGCAGCTTCTTGTGTAATTCTTGGTATCTTATGCTCAATGAAACTTGTAGCTACTACCCCCTCCCATTGAAAAAAAAGCAATATATTTATTGGGAGTTCTTTGCTTTTCCTAGCTATTATGGGGCATGATACTCTTTCTGCTTCTGTTGGATAGGGTTAATTAAAAGCTTTTGTGTATGTTTACTTTGTCTGTGGTAAGTATTAATAGGTTCTGACTTCGTGCCTGGTGTTTGATATTCCAAATGCTGTCTCAGTCAGAAATGGATGATCTCTTGACAATGTAATACTTTTCACTTAAAGCCCTCTGACTCTGAGGGGAAACATTTTGTGTCTGAACGTTGTGCTGTGATGAACAATTTTGATGGGATTGAGTGAGAACAGGTGAGGAGAGAGATCTCGGATATAAGCTCCTTAACTCCCCCAGCCTTTCTTACAGACAACAACTCCATTTCTGACTATGTAAAATTTCCAGGTCTCTTCTAGAAGGTTAACTTTGGTGCACATTTGAGACTAGTTGGTGGAGTCTGTCTGGGGACTTGGTAACGGGAAGGTAGGGGTATGGAGAGGCTTTCAGAATGATGGGAGAAATGCCGTGTTGTTCCTGCTGCTGCTCCCCTGCCCCCATCCAGAGCCACCCTCTTGTCCTTACAGACCTGGGGAACTGGGGGAAGGGGCCAGAGGTTCTGGGTGATTTTGCAGTCTGAGTCATAATAAATCCCGGCACTGACATGGTGATGTCATACGGTAGAACAGAAATGCCATCCTTCCAGTGGTGGCTTCATTACAGGTGTTCCCCTAGGTAGAGCATATTCACTATGTTCCTCATGTTAACAGAGTTTTGAATGGATCTATACTGGCATCTCTGCGCTTTTTTAGCAGTGTTAAGAGTGGATAAAATGGATTCATTTTGTGATTGTGTTGCAGAGCTTCAGCCACAAGTGTGTTTCATTTAGGATCGTGACTATTTCATTTTCTCTAAACACCCAAACCCCCACTGTATGGTTAGGGGTCCCCTGCAGTTATTACTTTTACTCTATTTTTACTTTCTTTTACTTTCTTCTTTCAAACACTGCTTTTAACCAAACCATCATAAGTTCATTTTCACCTCATCTCTGTGTGTTTCTTCCAAGAGTTCCCCAAAGGATCACTAGCAGGTTGTTAGGGATCTTTCTGTGTCAGCGTTGTGTTAACGGATGGCTGTAGGAATAAACATGTGCACTGGGATTTTATTAGCTACTGTCGGCAGCTTCAGTTTTAGATCGGCTCTACATGTATGTGTGTCTTTGGTGTCCATGAGTGTTGCTTCAGTTATAGCCAATTTGAAAGTTCAAGAAAATAGGCTCATCGTAACATGATGCCTCAATCACAAAAAATCATAGGGCTGCTCAAATCATAGAATGTTACGCTTTAGCAAGAATATTTGTCGCTGTATTGCTTTTAAGTTCTTTACCATTGCTAATGCCAGAGTGAAATTAAATAACTTTGACCAAATTAATTTGATAGAGACTCAGAGCCCCAATTAGTCACATGCACGGGAAATGAAATGCCAACAGGCTAGGAGAGATCAAGAGAGAATGCCAGTTTTGTCTGCTCTCTGTCTGCCTTCCTTCTGCCGTTCCTTCAGTTATTTATTGAGCATATACTATGTGGTTGCCTATTTTGATTAATTTCATGTCTAGATAACTTTAATATTAGCAGAATTTGTTTTTAAACACGAGGGTCCATGTTTCTCCATACTGTAACACAAAGGCAAATATGAAATTTGAAAATAAGACATATAACTTCTAAACTTAGTTTTAGACCTCCTTTTCCTGCAACTCTTCTCCACCCCACCTCTCCTTCCTGACCTTGAAGAGATGGACAGGGAACTTTGTTCAAGAGAAGTGGACTTCTTGGAATGCAGCAACAGGTGTTGATACTGTCTTCAACCGTGGAAGAAAGGCAGGGTAGAATGATTTTTCT